TCTCCGGGCTCTTTCTTATCCTCACAGCAGCAACCCTGTAGGGCGGGCGAGGCTGGGACTCTTTCCAAGAGAGGTCTCCCCTTGTCCAATGCGGGGAAGTGTGCAGCGGCCTGCCAAGCATTGCTTTGAGGACTAAGCTGATCCGTCTCATGGCGAGGGAACCTGCCAGGCATGCATCTAAGCCAGAACTGCGCTGAGCTGTCCCCGTGAGGAGGACACAGCCCTTGCTCCCCTTCAACCCACACTCGCCCCCACACAGGGGCTGCTCGCCTGCCTTGAGAAGAATTCGGAGCAGCGGCTCTCTTGCCAGGAGGCATTTCCCGTCTGCACTGTATACGCAAGCTGCTTTTCCTCCCCCACTAAGCCTTCACGGCAGCCACCCTGTGGGGCCAAATCCCCACTCAGCTTCACAGCTACACCACGGGGACAAAGGCAGGTCTGCCTGGTCCGCAGTCCAACAGGTGAACCGCGCCCCACCCTGCCCATCCAGACAGAGCCTCAAGTGAGCGGCACTGGTGTCTATGGCCAAAGGAGCCGCCTCCGACCGCACCCTCTTCGTACAGCACCGCTGCCAGCAGGCGCAATTCGCAGTGCCGAGCGGGGAGGTGTTGGCTTGACCCCTAGTGGAAAGGGGCTGCTCCCTCGTGCTGGCCCAGGACCCTTTCCTTCTCTTCCCAATGCTATAGGAGCTCGCTTTTTCAACGGACCAAGGCATTGCCCATGAAGGCTGGCTTGCCGAGCCCCTATCCGCTCAACTACCACCATGGCTGTCCCCCTTGAAGAGAGATGCAAGCTCTGTCCAAACCCAGGCAAAAATCATGCTGGGAATGTCGAGTGCTCTGCATGAAGAAACACTTCCCTGGCACAGGGAGACTCCAACGCTGCGCTCAGTCCTCTCGATAAAGGGGTATCTGGTGTGATGGGACTGGAAAACGCCTCAGCATGGGCTCCACCTCATAAAGAGGCTGGCCTGCCACGAGTCTAATCTGGCACTCGGCTCCGGCCTCCCCATGAAGGGGAAGCTGGCCTGGCGTGCCTGGAAATCTCCAAAGTGGGCCCCACCTCATAAAGAGGGTGGCCCGCCACGAGTCT